GGGGGTTCCCTTTAAGCACGAGCCTCAGATAGCCTCAGACAGCAGCCACACAAAGCAACTACTGACCTGATGCCCTGCCAGAACCGGTTTCAGCTGCCCTTAAATGCGCCCCTGCGTCCAATCAGTGTGGACGCGCTAGTTCGAATAAGGAAAACGCTAATTCGAACTAGTTTTTAGGTCTAGATGCGTTAGTTCGAATTAGCTTAGTTCAAATTAACTAATTCGTACTAAGTTAGTTTGAATTAGCGCTGTAGTGTAGACATACCCTCAGACACCTAGGATAGGCCTAGTCCACACTAACAGAAGATCACCGCTGCTGTGATTGATCTTCCGGAATTCGATTTAGTGAGTCTAGTTAAGACTCACTAAATTGAACTCAGAGGATACCCACGCTGGTACTTCTGCTTTTGTGAGGAGTAAGGGAAGCCAACAGGAGCATTTGCTCCCTTCAACCTCCTGCTGTGGGGATGATGTCAATCTTGGCTTAAGGATCTACAGAGGAATTATGTACCATAAGCCAGGCTGCTGAGTCTAGTGTAGACGTGGCCATTGTGCCAGACACATCCATTGTAAACCTTTTGGTCATAGTTAAAACTGGTTACATGCATTTATTAGCAGTCCTGTGGCACCTTAGAGACAAACAAAAATATATGTTTCATAAACTTTCGTGGATAAAAACCACTTCATCAGAGGAATTGGAGTGGGGGGGGAAGATACTGCGGCAGCAGCGTGGGATTGTAGGGGGCTTCCTGGGACTGGGGCCGGGAGCACACTGGCTACCAGCTTGCCACAAGGGGCGAGTATTTTAGTACCTATGTAACTGCTAAAAAAATTTGCGGCTACACAATTACTAAAATAACTGATATCTAACATCCCATATAGCATAGGCATACTCCTATTAAATTCAGTAGCATTGCTTATGTGCTTAAACATATACATAAGTATTTGAAAGATCAGGGCCTTAGTCTCTTATAAATCTATGAATTAGCACAATCTGAGGGTGTCATGATTATGTCCTCATTTCCAGTGGCTTTTTGAACCAGATTCTCATTCCACCTACCCAAAATGGCTTTTCACTTCTAGAACCTCCATCCCAAGAAAGCTACCCCCTGTTGAGGCCCTGGAGAATTAATCCAACCCTCTGTACCTGTTTTGTCTATTTTCCTAATGCTAACCCACCTTTGCAAAGTACTTTGAAATCCTCAGGTGGGAGGCACTATTAAAGTGTACATGATTATCACTGTAAGTATTTCTAGGTATAGATCAGGCCTGCACAACATACAGCCCGAGGGTCGCATGTGGACTGCAGGGGCTCACTATGCGGCCTGTGCCGACTACAGGCGGAGTGGACCCATCTGATCCGCCGGCTGGGCAAAGGAGCAGAGCGCCACTGGGGATGGGGAAGTGCGGTGATTCTCATCGCCGGGCTGCCTGCATGCAGCTCCGACACGAGGAGGCGGGGTGCGAGCCAGAGGGCGGAAGGCCGGCGGATGCCAGGACGCTGGTGTGACGTGGCATCATGACAACATGGCCAGCGACCGCCGGATTCAAAAAGGCTCCAGGAGCCCCGCAAACTGTAAGGCAGAAGCCATGGGGGGGAGGGCAGGTCAGGAGAAAGGGGAAGGCACCAAGTTGAGAGAAGTGTTTTGGTTTTTTTGCTCGACAAAAATGTTTAGCCTGTGTGTTCAGTAATTTTTGGGAGAGCATCCCTACTTGCGGCCCGCAGCTGTTTTCTTTGGAGTAATATGGCTCTCGCCGCTTTCCGAGTTGTGCAGGCCCAGTATAGATACAA